TAGGTCGGCACAAACTGGCCAGCGAAATCCGGAATTCAAAGTATGAAAAACGGACCATAATGTCTGATTTTTTTTTGCTTCAATCAGCGCATGGTGTAATTTCAAGCTTTTTTTTTTAGTGAGAATTACTTTTTTTCGTAAATTACACCATTTCCAAGGAAAATCGATGATAAAACTCGTCGTACCGACCTACGTCATCAAGAAAAGTCCAAGATGCCCGAAATGCAAACACCTCCTTTTTTTCTCTATGTGAATCAGGTACTTAATAATGTTAAAGAGCGGGGGGGGGGGGTTGTTGCAATATTGTCATATTAAGAACAGTTCAAGGAATGCAAGGTTGTTCAGAAAATGATGACCACAGATAAAGTAGCGATTTAGAATGAGTTATAATATAAAAAATGCTAAAAACAGAATTCGAAGCTACGATGACAGTAAACGAAAATTAAACAAAAACTCTTTCTCAAATATTTCAGATGAAGATGGCACTATACAGGGTGTCCCAAAAGTCCGTACCCCCTGATAACTTTTGAACGGTTAGAGATAAAAAAACGAAACTTAGGGAATATCTCTATCTCTATGGGGACAATCTTGTAGGAGGGTCAAAATTTTTGCCCCCTCCTCGGGGGGCGGCCCTCCAACTTTCCTTTGAAGGGTAGCCCCTATTTTGTGATACATCATTGGAAAGATCGTTAAAAACTAAGAATTTCGGCGCACACCGCAAATCAATGTCTTCATTTTTGACCGAGTAATGATAGGATAGGATAAAGGTCAATTTTGACCTCTTTTCAAAAAAACATAACTCCCCCTAGTAGCAGGTTTATATAAAAAAAATTTTGACGAAAGTATACCAGTCGTATAACCGTTATCAATCAAATAATTTTTTAAATTGCGCGAATAACCTTTAGAATTAGTAGTCCAGTCAATCTAGCATTTTTCATGGAAAATCTATGTATAGAAGGTTTTTTTGCGGAATTATGTTGCATTAGGCTACCAGAACAACATATCAAAAGTTTACCAAAATCGGCCGTCCGCTAAGGCCGCCATCTTGAAAAAAGGGGGGGCGGGGGGCCAAAATACGCCGCCGGCGACCGGTTTTTAGCTTATATCTTGAAAAATATCGATCCCACGGAAAAATGTCACTGAACCTTTTAAAAAGATCTTAAAATTTCCTATTAGAAACACTATACATTTATCAAATTGCGACTTCTGGTTCGTGAGATATGGCGGTAGTTTCCTGCGGCTAGGAAAGTCAAATCTTGC